GATGAAGATGAAGATGAAGATGAAGATGAAGATGAAGATGAAGATGATGATGAAGATGTAGATGAACATGAAGATGAACATGAACATGAACATGAACATGAAAATTAAGATGAAGATGAAGATGCAGATGAATCTGACGAACTGACAGAATTCTTTAAAGAAAAATGTTCACTGGAAATGGTTAATGGTGGAAATGATCCAACAACCAAAGGAGCGGCTACCATTGCGGGTTTTTCCAGAAATATTAAAAATATTGAAATAAAACATTTCATATCTTACTTTAGCTACCACAATCTGCTAGTTAATAGTGTAGATATGTATGTGTTTTCAGCCACAAATAATAATTAAACTTTCCAGTTGGTTATAAAAGATACAAAATTAAAGGTCGTAAACAAAATTTTAAATAAATATGTTTTTGTATATAAGAAAATATGTACATGTGCTTGTGTATCGCACATTTCTTTCTTTCTGGCATTTCCTCAATTAAGTTTCACTTCCTCCGCGCGTAGGGACTACACGCACTGAGTTTTTTTTTAAATTTTGAAATCGGTTGATATTTAACCTTGTCGCCGGGGCTTTGAAGTTTTTCATAAAAAATTAATAAACATCATAACTTATAATACATGTTTAGTTTTTAAATTTTACCAACTATTTTTTCGTAACCGATAATCGTATCCCTTATACGTGAACAAAAATGAGTTATTTTATGTTTTCACGCACGAGCAACGCAACGGATGTGTTTAATTTTTTTTTGCAATCTAATCAATGTTTTCTGTAGCTACCAAAAAAAAATGGAAAAATAGGGTTGTCAGGCATTTGAAATTTAAAAATATTTAAAGACACAACAGAATATTTAAATTTTTGCATTAGAACTAAAAGCGCTCGAAGAGCATTTAAAAATTATTTAGGTATGGAGTTGCTACCTTTCTAAAAGACAAATACAACTTATGTTATTAACAAATTTATGCCTATTTAACACTGCAATATGGGCATCAAACGGAAGGTGTATGCATATTCGAAATTTGGACAAACATGCCTCTAAGTAGGGTTGCCACCCATTTATTTATGTGCTTAATCAAAGGGATAGAATAAATGAAAATTGTCAACTTTTTTAAATAATAAATATTAACAACAATTAGCTCTTGAGATAATTAATATTAATATGTCTTTCATTATATTTATATTGTACCATTTTACTTAACTTACTTAATTATCTCATCATAGTTAATAAATGGGTGGTAACCCTACGTTAAAAATTAAATTTTTTAATAACCGTATTGTATTTTTTTAGTAAGGTGGCAACTCCATTGCAAACTATTTTTGTAAATCTCTTACAACGCTCTTAACTTTAATGAAAAATATTCAAATATTTTATTGAGCCTTTAAATAATTTTAAATTTTCAAATAGCTGGCAACCATATTTTTCAATTTTTTTTTATAATCCGTCAAGCTGTTCGTGCATGATGTGGTTAGGAACACATAAAATTAAACAACTTTTTATATAAGAGCTAACCTTATTGGTTATGAAAAATTAGTTAGTAAAATTTGTACATCAAATGGAGGAAATATTCTTATTCGATCAAAAAATATTTATTTTTAAAGATTTTATAGCAATTCTCGAAAAAAAACGTATTTTATCCACCTAAAATACATGAAAAACTTCAAAGCCGCGGCGACATGGTTAAATAACACTCGATTTCAAAACAAGAAAATATGGGTGCCATTAATTTTGATATACATACATGCTTCAGTTCTAGGAAGCGGCAGAAAAAACTTTTTTGGAACAGCCTAATGTACACACATACCTGTGTACTTAAACAAAAACATATTCACAATTTTTGATTACAACAACAAACAAACGATATGTCATAAGTCATTTGTTTATTCTTGTTAAACATACACACATATGTATATGTATGCAATCAATTTCTATGAGAAATCTCTAAACGGGAAGTCAACTCCTCCGCAGTCATTATATTTACAGTCAATTATGACGAACGTTGAAGGCGAATTCGTTGATAACTGAAGACAGGAAACCAAACGCACTGCTGATTGTGGTTTCCGTAGATAAGATTACTTAAAATGTAAAAAAACTTTGTAGTAATTAAAAAAAAATTTTGTATGCATTTGTATAGAAATTAATTCATTACACTATGCGACAGTCAAAATCGGGATGGGATGAAACCAACGGGAAATGTTATATCGGTCAAAAACAA